ATTTCAAAAGATTAATAAAACAATGAGTAAAATTTAAGATTTTAGTTTTTTTTACACTACGTGTCAATCATATTCAAAATACAATCTAACATAGAACATTGACTATTAACATTTTTTTAATAAAAATTTAAATATTAATTTATCAAATTATAAGATGTTTAGTCTTGTTTATTAGATGTGAACTTATAAATAATACTTTCACCATCTTTAATTATAAAGTACTTTTAAAAAAATTTTTTTATTTTAAAATATAAGAAACTTTAAATAAATTAAAATTTTATTAAATACTCTAATTTTAATATTATTTTTTTTATAATTAATTTCCATCTTCTTTTTTTATTATATTAAATGATGAGTATTTTAAAAATTTTCTATTTTTATTTTAAAAAATATAATATTTTTAGGTGTATTTAATAAAATTTATTAATATATAAAATTTTATTTAAAATTATCTTAACATTTGAAACGAGGGAATATTACAAAAATTTGGGAAACAAGTATAGGGAAAATTTGATTGGCTTTTAAAAAAATAAATAAATAAAAGAAAACAAAGAAAAAAAAGTGGAAGTTTGGGAACAAGGAAGCCCAGCCCAAAAAGGATCTGAGGACGCAGGAGACAGAGAAAAGTAACACGTGAAAGGCGCAATAATTGACGTAAGGCTAAGCTGTCATTATCTTCTGCCCGGAACCGCGTTGCGTCCATTTCAATAACCGGCAACAACACGTGCCGTGCTCCGACCTCGCATCAAACTCATCTCTCTTTCATTTTCTGCCAGCCTCATCACTATAATAATGCTAACCTGGGAAATGTATATATTAAAAAAATTAAAATTCTTAAAGAAATTCTGTAAATTACTTACTGCTACAATTTCATTTATGTATTACTCCCAACATTTTTATTTAAATTTACAAAAAAAATTAAAATTTATTAACTCTATTTAAAAAGTTAAATAGAATTTTTACTTTGTTTGAATTAAATATATTATTAAAAAGTTTTCTACTTGCATACATCAACATTAAATAGGGGTTAAAGGGGAAAAAAACAAAAGTACTCCCTCCCCCTTCTAAATTATAACATATTTTTAATCAAAATCTCACATATAAATACATTTTATTAAATACACTCAATAATTTTATTTTTTCAAAACAAAAATATAAACTTCTAAAAATATTCATAATTTAATATACTGAAAAGAGAAAAGATATAAATTAATTATAGAGAGTGAAAAGGTAATATTAAAATTAATACATTTAATGAAATTTTAATCTATTTAAAGTGTCTTATATTTTAGGACGTAATTTTTTTTAAAAAAAATATCTTACAATTTGAGATGGAGAAAATATTAATTAATTAATAGAGTGTCTCATGAAAAGAATAGCTAAACTCTTATTTCAAATAGCTAGTCAAATAAATATGACAAGAAAGAGTATTTTGATTTATTTGTGCCACGAAATTATTTTGTTTTGGCCATGCACAACACAAAGTGTAAATTTACACCTTAGATAGTTATATAAGTGTCAATAGAGCGTACTGTCGAGTTAGGGGTCAAGAAGGGACACCGCGAAAATGGGGAATTCTAATGAAAAAGATAAAAAAAATGGAAGAAGAATTGGTAAGATCGGAACAGATACAGGTAAGCCGGGACGGAGCTCCATGAATACTCTTAGATAAATTATTATCCTTTAAGGATTATCAATATAAAAGCAAACATGCAGCGGTACTTTTTTGAAGAGTAAACTGTTTATAGTTCTTGAATAAATGAGTACTAAAATATTGACGAATTTCAGGAGATAAAATAAAACACACTGATTTCAAAGAAACATTAAGGGAGAATGACGTTGAAAGCTATAAAAAAAAATTATTTCAACAAGGATCTATTAATTTTATATTGAATATTATGTTATAAAAATACAAATATGTTATTATGAAAAGCTGAACTTTAAATTATATTTTTTGTTAAAGTCTTTTTAAACATTTAATAAGCTAAGGTTTAGCTTTTTATAACAGCATCATATTCTATGCAGAATTGATAAACTTTTATTTTCATAATTTTTATTTGGACCTTTAATGTTATTCTTTCAAAAATTAGGGAGAAATAAATAGGAAGAATTTTTTTAGGAATATAAAAAATAAAAAAATTTAGACTTGTGTAAAGAGAACATGGTGTACTATAATATGCTTTGATTGTGGGAAAGGAGAAGCGTTTGGAGCACACAAGAGGGCATGGAAGTTCCAAACGGATACGCCAACGGCTTTTGACTCTCCCTGACGACACTTTGGATGCCACCCGTTGAATCTGATTCCCTTCTCTTTTCCCATCTCCTCGGGCCCCACCTCCACCTTGTTCCTTCCTTCTTTGAATCTTTCCCTTTCCTTTCCAAATTCAAATCCTGTCCTCCTAGGTTTTCCAACCCATCCCATTCTCTCCTTGGATTCTTGACCAACCATTTTTTACCCCCATCTTATTTTTCCTATCCTACTAATCAAGATTTGTATGATCCTTAAGTAGGACACATTTATTTGGTCAAAAAAAAAAGTAGGACACATTTAATTCTTTTACCCTTCATCTGTATGATTAGAATAGAAAAAAGAAAAGAATACTCATAGAAAAAACTTATACAAAAAATATTCTTCTCATACTAATTTATAAAACATTTTAGAAGTGATTTAATATTTTAAAATATAAAGTATTTTGATAAAATTAATGTTTCATCTATTACACTTGTCCTAGGATTAGTTTTCTCTCATTATTACTCCCTTCGTTTAAAAATATAAGACATTTTTAACTGAATCTTGCCCTCAATAAAGTAGTTATCTATTTTCAAATTAATTCTATCTTTTCATATTCACCCCTATTAAACATCATATAATAAATATAAAGGTATTTTGAAAAAATGATAATGATTACATCTCGAAAGATTGAAAAATATCTCGTATTTTTAATTAAATCTTACTACAATAAAGTAGTTTCTTATATTTAAATTAATTATATTTTTTCATATTTACTTCTATTTAATTAGGTGTTTCACTCCAAAAAAATAAAGTAATCTATTTAATAGAGGTACTTTAAAAAAAATGTAATAATTACATCTTGAAAGACTAAAAATGTCTTAAATTTTTTAACATTTAATCTCTTAAAAAATGCTTTATATTTTTAAACAGAATGAGTACTTTTTTTTACTATTTTTTTTCTTTCTAGGGTTCTTTTATTCTTATTTGCCTTTTATTTTTTTCCTTCATCAAAATCAAAGCCTGAATTATTGCATTGGATTAATCTTACATAGAAACGAAATTGTGCTATAACATGTTTAAACATGAAAATATTTGATTTTAGATTGGATGACAATATTAGATGCCAATTAGCTATATTAAAAAGAAGATTGAGCTCTCTATATGGCATAAAATGATAAGTACATTATAATATTTATAATTTATAAATAATATAGTTTATTATAAATGGCTTGTTAGTACAAGTTCTAAGATGAGCTATGGACTATGAATAATATAGTATGTTATAAATTTTATATTATAAATAGATGTACTAGCTAATTGTGATTAGGTTAAGTAGAAAGAACTTTGATTATTCTTGTAAACGAAAAAACCACATTAGGGGAGATACCATTAATCATATTTGATAATACTTAAACCTAATATATAATAATACTAAATATTAAAAAATTACATAAAAATTATATAAAAATAATAAATATATATTCACCCATTTTCAAATATAAGAAAAATTATTCATATATTTTTTGTTTTATTTATAAGAAAAATTATAAATTTCAAAAAGCATTCATCACATTTTTTTTTCAAGTTGTTTCTTATAAAGTCAGTCAGTGTTTAATTTTATTAGACAAATTTATTTAATTAATTACACGGATAATTTAGTATAATTTTTTAACTTTTAATACAATTATTATAATTAATTAAAATTTTCAAGTTGTATGAATTAGTTATTTTTTATATTTAAAAATAAAGAAAATAAACTATAGGTTCATGACCACTCAACCCTATGATTAAAATTGATATGTCTCCATGAACTTTAATGCATGCCATGGAGAATGAAAACATTATAAAAATTCTCTTACCACCATCTTATTCTTAAATGAACCCTTGTTGAATTATGAATTAATAAACTATTTTTTTAATATTAGAACATTAAAACGAATCAAAGAAATTTTATTTTATTTTTTAACAAGAGAGAGATTATATTAATAAAAAATGAGCATACAAAATCAAAGGCTCAAAATTTAACAATAAAAATAGATATAGAATAAGACAGTTTGTGGTTGGCAACTCATGCTGGTCAAGTAAATTTTCAATTTCAAGTGAATTAAATTTATCCCTAACATTTCTTTAATTGGTGTGTTCTAACAGTAATGACAAAATTTATATATTATTTGTGTTGATTTTGAATTTATTGTTATTGTCTGTGGCTTACTCTCTCTATTAAAAAATATAAAATATTTTTTAAAATATTAGATATTAAAAACATGTACAATATTTTTAATCTTTTAAAATATAATCATTATATATTTTTTAAAATATTATTATTAAATAAATTATTTTATATTTATTATAGATGAAATACCTATAAATAGGAGTAAATAAAAAAATAATTTAAAAATAAATAATTATTTTATTAAAATAAAATTTAATTAAAAATATTTTATTTTTTTGAGTGGATGATATGTTTAGGTGTACTGATATGTTTAGTTAAATGAACTAAAAAACTCTCAACGGATAAAATCAAATACCCTCCGTTTCAACTTTCAAAGTTCAAACTAATAATGAGTAATGACAACAACAACCAAATAGACAAATCTGGTCAACAAATAGACCCTCGTGACAGTGATATAGGCTGGCTGCCACGCCACCATCTATCGTATTTTTTTTTTTCACCATAATAAAAAAAAAACGCGATTCTATTTTAATTTTAATTTTATATTTATATTTTAAATTCTGCTTTTGCTATATATTCCCTTTTGCGCGTTAGCCTCGGCAAAGACAAACCAGAAATCATGGCTACTTCGTCCCCTATCTCAGCTGTCTTCTTCATCTTCCTCCTCCACCTCACTACCACCGTCTCTTCCATCGGCGTCAACTATGGCACCGTCGGAGACAACCTTCCGTCACCTGAAGCGGTGGCGAATTTCCTCAAGACCAAGACCACCATCGACAGTGTTAAGATCTTCGATATGAGCCCTCAAATCCTGCAAGCCTTCGCCGGAAGTGGCATCTCCGTCACCGTCACAGCACCTAACGGAGACATTGCGTCGCTAACCAACCTAGATTCGGCTCGCCAGTGGGTCGTTTCACACATTAAGCCCTTCCACCCTCGAACTCAAATCAAGTACATCCTCGTTGGCAGCGAAGTACTCCATTGGACCGATTGGAACACCATCAAGCTTCTCGTCCCCGCCATGAGAACCCTCCACAGAGCTCTGAACGTCGAGGGAATCAGGGACATCAAGGTATTCAAAATCTGCTATCCCCCCTTTTACTGCTCAAATCCCCCCTTTGCCGTTCTAATTTCATTCACATTTCACTTTAGTCCCTCTAACCTGGAGAACCTAACCAAATCTCCGTCTGTTTTTCAAAACGATTCAATTTTTCTTTACTGATCTTATGATTTTTTTGTATTGAATCATTATAAGAAAGTAACCATAAAGCTCATTGATGTGATCTTTTGAAAAATTTCAGGTCACAACGGCACATTCTTTAGCCATAATGCACTCATCTATTCCACCAAGCGCCGGCCGGTTCAGATATGGATTTGCACGATATGTGTTCGGGCCAATGTTGAAATTCTTGAGGGAAACTAAAGCTCCATTTATGGTGAACCCGTACCCATACTTCGGATACAACCCGAAAAACTCAAATTTTGCTTTGTTCAGGCCAAACCGTGGCTTGTTCGACCGGACAACTGGGCTAACCTACACGAACCAGTTTGACGCGCTCATGGACGCGGTTTACTCCGCCATGAAGGCCATTGGGTTCGCCGATGTCGAGATCGCTGTCGGTGAGACGGGTTGGCCGACGAACTGTGATGGATGGGAAGCTTGTAGTGTGGCCAATGCGGCGTCGTATAACAGCCAGCTGGTGAGGCACGTGGAGTCCGGCAAGGGGACGCCGTTGATGCCGAACCGCCGGTTCGACACTTACATCTTCGCCTTGTTTAATGAGAACCAAAAACCCGGTCCGACCGCCGAAAGGAACTGGGGGCTGTTCCAACCCGATTTTACCCCGGTCTATGACTCCGGGATCTTGCGCGACGGACAGGTTAAATATTTTATTTTTTGAAATTTGGAAAATAATTAAAGTGTCGCATTGTTGTCGTTTTTTGCTTTGAAAGTTTTCCTATGCTCTCTTTTGACCTGGATTCTTGGGGGCGGGAAATTCATAAAAACCATGATGGACCATTATTTATTTTCTTCAGATTCTTGAGTTTTTATTTGAAAATGAAGCCATAGTGCTGCATGTTACCTATTCCGTATTTTTATAATTTTATTTTATTTCCGATTTCTGATACTCAACTTTTTCTTTATACTCACTTTTTCTATCTTTCTTTCTTTTTTAAATAAGATATCTAATTTAATTTAATTATTTTACCCTTTACAGCAAACATCACATCCAAGGTCTTTTTAACGTCTTGAACAAAAAGATTGTCCGTGTTCTTCATTGTATACTCACATGCGCTTCTGTCCTATTTTGTCATCTTTGTTTGTAGATTCCAGCTTTTTCTATGGTAATATAATATATTAACCTCAAGGAATACTCGTAAGAAAAACTCAAGCAATGCTTGTTTTGACTCGTGTTCTTATGTCATAATTACAGCTTTACAAGTGTACATCTTTCATCCGAATGCTTATTCTTTTATGTGGTTGATGTCAACAAGCAATAATTAAAGATACTATAATATTTTTTTTATTATCAACTTCGTAAACCTATTTAATAACAGGATGCTTTCATTGAAATGAAAAGTCACTTTTCAGGTTGACAGAAGAACCTTCAAGAGTGACAGGTGGTAAAGTGTGATACTGCATTTATGTTCATACCATTTATCCGTAAGGTGTCAAATTCTTGGATTGTGATAGCAAGGGTGCATGTTGACTTTCAAAGTCGATGATTACGGATTTGCTTTATTTTTTAATCTATAATTTATAATATTATTCATTTTTTAGGTTAAATTATGTAATTTCTTTTCAAACTCCTGTGAATTCATGGATTGTGAATGATGCAGATTTTGTGTGTCATCTTGGTTTGAGGTTAATGATTTCCTTTTTTAATTATAATAATGCAGTCTGTACCAGTGGCTCAAAATCCAGGCCAAAGCCCAAGCCCAAAAGGCCCAAGTGGAGGAGGGCAGAAATGGTGCGTGCCGAAGCCTGAAGCAAGCAATCAGGCCCTACAAGCCAACATAGACTATGTGTGCAGCCAGGGAGTGGACTGTAAGCCCATTCAGCCCGGTGGAGTATGCTATGACCCAAACAACGTGAGGCAGCAGGCCACCTACGCCATGAACGCCTATTATCAGGCCAAGGGTCGCCATGATTTCGACTGCTACTTCTCTAACTCTGGTCTCATTGCTTCCTCTAATCCCAGTAAGTAGCTTCATCTCGTATCATTATTAATGTAATTGTACTGTTTAATTTATAAGCCATGACTAGCATGACCCGTTCATCACATGTAATGTAATAATATCATGCCATATTCATATGTTTTTAATTTGTCTATATACATATGAGATTTGATAGAGTTTTGCATTAGTTGTTGAAGGCTTGACACAATCTTCCTCTTTTATCTGGGCTTTTAAACTATAGCCTATTTTTAGGATAAGGCTTGTTACCGTTACTATCATGTCTTTTACAAGGAGTAATTTTGAGAAGGTGAAGCTTGTGAATTTCTTATAATTTTTTTAAGACATTTATATTTTTTTTTTAGATTGAGGAACATTTTAAATTTGTTACAAAAGGTGCTGTTGTCTTATTGTAATTGTATGATGATTTTTTTACTTGGTTTTGAAATCTATATGTCTAACATGATTTGTGCATTGGTCATACTTCTGTTTATTGTTTTTTCCTTTCTGTATCGATTTTTGACATCTCATTTTTTGAAGCTCTTATTATTCATGATTGAACTTGAAAAAATCAGCAAGTTGAAATCAGTCAAACATGAGTAGCTGTATAACTTTTTTATTTTTTAAATAATTGACAAGGATTTTTATATATGGGTGTTATTCACAGGTCATGGACAATGTAGAATGTAAGAGTGTGAATTTCAAAAGAAGAGACCAAGGAGGCAAGGACTTTCAATTCCCAGATATTCGACAGAGCACAAGGAGGGACTATATTATATTATTATTAGTTGACTTATCACCATGATGTATTCATTTATTACTATCATTATTACTATTATTGGGTTATGTAAATGTTTCCTTAACGAATGTTAACCTAGACGTCATCACGTGTCATTAAGACTGCGCTATGTTTGTGAAATATTAGGGACGTTATCCTGTTTCTGGTTAAGTTTATCTTTTGATCAGAATGCTTCTCTTGAATGGTCATGAATTGCTCTCCAAAAGCTACATGTCGATGATTGATAATTCTTAATATTTTGTGAAATATTAAGAACAACATACAAAAGGTTTAACTTGCTAATTTCGGTTTGTCGATTATATCATTTTGGACCATTTTGAATCGGATGATTTTGACAAAATTGAAGTTGATCTAGAAACCAAAATGGATCTTTAAATAACATTTTTTATTTAATTTTAAAATACTAATGTCAACTTTTTCTTTTTGGGATTTTTATACTAAAATTTTGAGTGTATGATTTATTTATTGACATTATACAAATTAAGCTGTAGAGAAATTTGAAAAATTATTTGATTTGCAAGACAAGTAGGGTAAATAAAAAATATATATTTAAAAAGAGAAATTAAAACTTAATATGTTATTTTTAATGATTTATTTATGTATAAATGTACAAAAAAATATTTATATTATCATGTCACATGTTAAACTTCAAACTAATTAAACTGAGAATTGTGATTCATTGGCATCTTTGGTTCATCATTTGATCCTTGTTTTTTTTTTTTCTCCACAACATTGATTAACGATGAAAACTGATCTTTCAAAACGGAGAGATAATGACATATCCCTCCTTAACAAGTGCTAAAAATTGAATCATTAAACACTTGAAGTGGAAAAATATTAGTGGATATATGTTTGACTTGAATTGAATTTTTTTAAAAAGAAATGTTTTGGGGTATAATTTTAGAGAGAATTTTATGCAAGGTTATTGCACTTACATGCGTATCTTTATCTTTATATATTGTAAAGCTTGACAGGGTTTACTATTTTATCTAAATATTTTGAATAGCCAACCTCCATCAATTTTTTTTTATGGTTAATTTCATATTTTCAATTTTATATTATTAGGAGAAGTTGAAAGGATGGAGGCTTATTGTGTACACATAATAAAAAATAGATATTGAATGTGAGACTACAATAAAACAGTGGACTTGGAATTTCAACAACAAAATTACATAATTTTGTTAATTTATTATAATTTGATTGATTAAATCTATTAATTTTTGAAATTTAAAATCCTTAAATTTTTTTAAAGAAAAAACATAACTTTAGATCATTGTAATTTGTTCTCGAGTTTTGCAAAAAGTCCTTGTACCTTTTTTTTTGTATGTTCTAGGTCCTTATATTTTTATTTTTGGTATTCTATGTCCTTTCATGAGCAATTATATAAACTTAAAATATTAAAAAAATAAAAGTATAGGAACTTAAAATACTAAAAAAAATTACAGTGACTTATAGCAAAACTCAAGCAAAGTATAGGAATCTAAAATTATATTTTTTAATTAAAATTAAGAAATTTATTTTCTATCAAATGATTATACAACTTTGGGTTAAACTATATTTTTGGTTCCATGACTTTATATAAATTTAATTTAATCACTTAATTTTATAAAGTATTTTTTAGTCTTTTAACCCTAACATCATTAGTTTTAAATGATTACTTTTATGTCAATTTTTATTAATTTTTAAAAAATTAAAATTAAAATGTTAATATTTAAGAATATTTTGTTAATATTTAAATGTTCAAAATAAATTTTTTTATAATGAAATTAATGATGTTAGAAGTAAATAATTAAAAATAAATTTTATAAAATTAAGAGATCAAAATGAAATCTTATGTAAAGTTAAAGGATTAAAGGAATAGTTTAGCTTATAACTTTAAAATTAATTACAAATTTTTTTTAATTTTTTTACATGATTAGGAGAATTTGAAAGAATGTAAACTGATTTTTCCTTAGATTCTAAAATAAAAACAAGTTGTTGTTTATATTTTTAATAAAATATTGTTATTTATTTATTCTAATTACCAAAAATACGTTCTCCAAAATTAAACATACAATTATTTATATTTTTTTATTATAGTTAATAATTTTTAATTACATATACAATTCTATGTCACACGTTGTAAATGTCATTATTTTAATAAAATTGTCACATTAGTATTTACTCAACATTAATCCTTTTCTTTTCCTTTGTTTGGTTTGAGGGTAATAGAGGGAGGGATAGACAAGATTTGCATAAATTATTTTTAATTGATTTCTTCTTCTTCTTACAATTTCTTTTTATTAAAATTTTACAGAGAGAATCAGACCTCAAGCTTTTAAATGAATGATAATTACTTTTAAAACCCAATACAATTTGACAATATTCTGCAAACTCAAACTCAAAGGTGTCATTTGCAATTAATTTTGAAGATCAAAAGACTTAATTACCTTGATCTAAAAAATGGAATCATGCGCAGAAATCGTGCTTCGAGCCCACTGAAGCTTTCTCCAGCATTCAACCTCGCGGGATCTCATTATATTAGGTCTGAAAAATAATTATCATTCATTTGAGGGGTTCTAGGTGCGATTCTTCCAATTTTATAACACTGCTTTTCTTTTCTTTTAAAATAAAATTGAAATTATTAAAATCTTCTTTCCTTGTTCTAATTAATTTTGAAAAAAAAAATAATAAAATCCTTCTGAATTATATAAATAATAATTTGATATCTTAAAATATTATAATTCTATTGTAGTGCTTAAGAATTTTTATGTCAATAAATTTTAAAATAAAAAGATAATTTTACCCTTATTAATAAATTGTGATTTCTTGTTCAATTTTTATAATTTTTTAAATAAAATTTATTATTCTTTAAACAAAAGTTGTGATTTGTGCTTGATATTTTGAGAACTTATTTTTCAATAACAGAAATTAAAATTGACAAATTATGATTTTTTGTTTAATTTTTACAATTCATAAAACAAAAATTATTATTTTTAAGTAAAAAGTTGTGATTAAGGCTAGATATTTTCAATAACAGAAATTATATTTAACAAATTATGATTTCTTATTTAACTTTTGAAATTCACAAAATAAGAGTTGTTATTTTTTAAACAAAAATTGTGATTGAAACTTTAATTTTCAACATATGAAAAATAATCTTTTTTACTTTAAAATTTATTGACATAAAAGTCTTTAGAGACTCAACTGAAATTATATTATTTTGAGAGATTAAATTATTATTTACACAATTTAAAAAAATTTTATTGTCATTTTCCCCCCTTAATTTTGACACTTTTAAATTAAATAAAAGATCGCATCACACATATAAAATCTAGTTTTCTTCAAAGTTTGGCATTAAGAGACCTGGGTCCATCAATCTCTTTTTTAATTTGGGGTTCACTTAAACACACCTAACCCACCAACCCCATGTTTGAGATCTAGAATTCAGATTCTTTCCGTTAGGATATTTTCATTTTTGATGTTTTGTTGTTGTTGTTTGTTGTTGTTAGATCAACCTGATAACACAGATAAATCCACAGATATAATACAACGTGCAACATACTAAATGAAGCTGACTTTTTAAGTTTTAACCGTTACCGCTGAGAATAGATTTTTGGTGGGGATTTTTTTTTATCACCAATAAAAATCATCGCCAAAAGTCTCTCTCTTTTTGGGTACTGTAACTTTTTTTTTTTTAATTGCAAGGCTTAACCATGGTCATTGTATTCCAAAGGAAAAAAAAAATAAAAATAAATGTAAGTTTTCAAGACATGGGTCAACTAGCACATATAGAAGCATATGGAACTACAAATAGCTGGCTGTGGGGGTGTGATTCCGGACCATAATGCTAAATGGATCATCAATTATTTTTAGGATATCATTACTGACCATCAAATCAAAGGATTTTTAACTCGAGGCTTGGTTCTTAACATCGAGGGACTCCATGTTTAAACTTGTTTATCATCTTTTTTTTTTAATCTAAATTTTTAATATCATATACAAGAGGGAGGGATGATAATATAAACAAAGAAGAAGGGAAAATCCTTGAAAACAAATAAAATTAAAAAAAAATGCTAAGTGTTGTCTTCACTCATTCTTTCGCTCACACTTATCACCATTATTTTGCTCTCGCTCGTTAGTCATTGCCCACATTCTCTCTCTCACAACAAGTCAAAATCGCTCCTCTTTGACTTCTCACACCCACAAAGTCAGTTTCACGGGTTTCGGTTTCCATGTTCATCTTGGTGCTCAGCAGCAATTGACAGTGTTAATTTTTTTAAAACCACGAAATGCTAATAATAATAATAAATAAATAAATAAATATGATGAAATTATTATTTTAGTATTAAATAAATAAATTTAATTCATTAAAATTTGATCTGAACAATTTATATATAAATTTTGGTTTGAATAGTTTAGAATTGTATTAAAAAAATTAGAACTATAACTAAAAATGTTTTATAAAATATTTTTTATTTTATTGATTTTGAACAGCTATCTGTTTATGAGAGGTAATATCATGCAAGGTACAGTCGGGTATTAAATATAGGCATTTCTCTTAATAAAAATTCATAACATTGATTTGTTATATTATGAGAAACTAGCTCATTTTGCTAAACTCAACCCCTATTTTAAACTCTATGTCATTTTTTTTAAATTTTTTCAGTACAGTTCTTAACTGTTTAAACCAAAATTTTTATTTAAATTGTTCATATCAGAATTTAATAAATTAATATTTATTTATTTTAAAATATTAAAATAATAATTTTATAATATTTATTTATTATTATAATAATGATTATTGTGGTTAAAAGAAAAAAGAAAAAAAATTAACACTGTAACAAAGTGTTAATTGGTGCTGAGCACCGAAACCGAATCCCTGTTTCACATTGTCACATACCATCGTCCATCGCTCACTGCCTCGCACCACATTTGGTCTCATTCTCGCAAGCCACACCGTCTCAGCCATCGTCTCTCCATTTCTAGTCAACCTCGATTCAACTCTCAGTGCCTCTCATCTTAGGCACTCATTGTTATATATATATATATATATATATATATATATTATATTATATTATATCAGTCTTGGAGCTCTGAACCTCTTGTTATTTCTCCCACTTGGTCTCGTAGCTCATAGCTTCGTCCAATCTCAAGTATAGCACTATTGA